GGTCGGGGGCGCGCGGCGGGGGCGCGCGGGGCCGGGGCGCAGGTTGACGGCCGCCGCGCCTCTCTCGCAGCCGTGCTGCTGCGGGCGCGGGAGGCGGCGCAGTTCCTGGGGCCCAGGCAGCGTCGCGCCTACCAGCTCTTCGAGGAGGCCAAGCAGGGGCACCTGGAGCGCGAGTGCGTGGAGGAGCTGTGCAGCAAGGAGGAGGCCCGGGAGGTGTTCGAGAACGACCCCGAGACGGTGAGCGGGGCCGGGGGCGTCTGGGGAGCCAGGCCCCTGCGCGCACTGCGGGGACCCGGGGCTTCCGCGGCACCGCGACCTCCCTTCCCGGGGTCCCGTGAGAGTCACGCCCCAGATTCTTCTGCACAGAGACGGTCGCGGTCCCGGTCGCTCACGCGAGCCCGGCCCACTCTGGGCCCCTCCGCGCCGCACCGTTTGAGCCCCACCCCTCGTGACCGCAGGGGAGGCGGGTCGGGTGGAGACGGCTGCTTTGGGGGTGCTCCGCGTCAGCGCCAGCCGGGAGTCCACTCTCAAAGTGTAAAGGAAACACAATGGTTAAAAACCCACGGGACCGAGGTCCGGATCCCAGGGCTGCTGCTCCCTCTTCTCCAAGGGGGCGGAGGGTTTTCCTGAAAGAGGAATCGAAAGATCTGAGGGCTGGAACTGCTTGCCGCAGCAGGTCCAAAAATACGATTACAGGAATGGTGCACAGATCCTATATGGGGAGGGGGTGCAAGCAGGGGGCCGGCACCCCTGCAGGGTGCTGGGAGCCAGCGTGGGTGGCCTGGGAAGCAGCGGCGGCCGGAGGCGCCCACAGTGCTGGCCCAGGGCACGTTCCTGCTAGCAGTGTCCTTGGAGAAGGGGGGCAGCCAGGAGCTGACAGCGCGTCCTGGGAGGGCAGAGGGTGGTGCATGAGGACGTGCGTGGCTGCGACCTGCAGGCCTGCCGCGAGCTGTGACTTTGGAAACCCGTGACAGTGACGGTGTGGACGTGCGTTGCACTTCATGCTGCAAAGTCAGGGTGATTCCGTGGCTCGGTTTTTGGCTCTGCGGAAGTTTTTCTGTTAAAGCGTTCTTGGGGATGAAATGAGCGTCTCCGCAATAAGAGAGTGGCGCCGGGTGTCCCCTGCAGGCCTTTGTTTTGCCTTTTATGCTAATGGTCGACTGGACGGTCCCTTTCAGACGAGCTTTTCTGAAACAAGCTGTGCGCTATCGAAGGGCCGGGTGCAGCTCTCTTGGCCAGAGGCGGTGGCTGCAGTGGCTGAGCCAGGGAGGCGGGATGGGGCTGTGTGTCCGGCAGCTGCCCGCAGCCTGGACCCTCCTCTGCGGCGTCTCCCAGCTCCCTCGGCCTCCGTGCCGTCTTGTTGCAGAGGTCTCTCCAGGTCCTGGCCGTGGGGCTAGTGGGCACCGGTCACCCCAGGTCCCTGCCTGGCCATGGGGTTGCCCATGTGGCTGGTGCAAGGTGCATGCCCTCCAGTCCCAGGCTCACCCGGAATGTTCTGCAGGCACAGAGAGCGTGGGGTGGGGCTTGCTGGTGACAAGAGTCAGGGCAACAGGCCCTCCCAGCCCAGGAGCCCCTGCCGGCACCCCCAGAGGGGCTGAGCCAGCGCCCTCAATAACTTTGTTTTTTTGTTTTAATTATAACTTCACAAAGCTGTCGATGAAGACAAGAAAAACAAAAAAGTGCCCAGGACCCCAGGACTGCCATACCACCGCTGTCATTTCAGCGTGCTTCCCTCCTGGGCGCGGTCACCGAGCCTTGATGCCGGGAGGTCGCCCTCCTGTCTGGGGACCGCTTTTAACATCAGAGCCATCTGTAACATTCCAGAATTCCGCCCTCCTTCCCACCCCCTGCCCCAGTAGCAGTGTGGACATCTTCCCTTTATCTTCCGGCCATCCCACCGGACCCAGCCCCACCTCCCTGGCAGCGGCCGGGCGGCTGCACGCGAGCCCTTGCACCTTCGGGCACAGCTCGCGGTTCGCTGGATCCTGCTGCTGGCGGCTCTCCCTCCCTGTTCCCGGCAGCTGGAATGCTGGGAAGAGCCTGGCTGGGCGGGGCTGGGCGGCTGGCTCTGCTCCCAGTGCTCCAGCAGCCCAGGTGTGCGCCACTCAGGGTCCTGCTCTGCGGCGCCCACCACGGCCTGGGGCCCAGGACCCCTGCTGGGGAGCTCGTGCCAGGTATCGGCTCCGACAGAGGCAGTGCTAGGAGTTACCAGGGAGTCCTCCCCTCGAAAGCTTTCCTTGCCTTGAAATACCACTCGTCTTACATTGGGTCAGGGAGGCTGGTGGAGCGGTCCAGGACAAGGCATGACCTCAGCTTGAGAAGCCACCAGTCCTGCTGTGGGACCGTCCCTGCCTCCCTGGGCCTGGGGTCCTGATGTGCGTCCCCTGGACCACCTGCCAGACTCCCCAGCGGGTTGCAGGGAATGCGCTCGGCTGGCCAGGCAGGGCCGCCTTCAGGGACTGATCCCACCGCCCTTCCTGCCCTGGACCGACGCAGGATGCTGGGCGCCGGCAGCTTCCGTCTGTGGGTGTCTTGCTGGGCCCAGTGAGCCACCTGCCCCTCCCAGGGGAAGGCCATGCTGCCTGCCCTCCCCGGGCCCTGGGGGGAGTGAGGCGTTTGCTGCTGCACCCAGCTGGGGCCGGGGAAGCCCTGCACCTCCAGAGCACAACACCCTTCCCAGACCCCGCCCTTGTAGCACTGCCCGCTAGAGCTGGCGCTGCTGGGAGGGGCGGCACCTCCCACCGCATTCCTGCAGGCCGGGCCTGCCCTAATCTCGCTGCTGTGCTCCGTGCCAGCCCAGCCCTCCTGTCCTTATCTTGTTTTCCTTTTCATGTTGTTATTCTCCCTTCCTGGCCGTTCCTCTGGCTGAGTTCCCGGTCTGGGCAGCGCTGCGGTCACCTCTGCCCATGTCCCCAGCCCCTCTCCACAGTCTCCTCTTCACTGCAGCACCTGATGCCACCTCAGTAATCACCCTTTGCTTCCGGAAAGGATTCTGGACCAGGGACTTTTTCCAGCCCAAACCTGCTGCCCCTGCACTTTGACCCCGGCCTGTATGCAATAAGAAAATCTGCATTGCAGGCTGGCCCCACCGCCTTGCCGCCTTGAGATCCAGTCAGTCCTCACGGTAGGGCACGTAGCGTTCTCCGGGAGCTCTCCCGGGAGGGTCAGCAGGGCCACGCCTGTCCCAGCCATGTCTCTCCCACTCTCCTGCCCCCCCAGCTCTCCCAGATGCGGTGGCCCCACCCTGCGAGTGGGGATGAGCTCTCTGCGTGGGGTTTTGGGGTGTGGTCAGTCTCAAAGGCCCGCAGTCCACTGGCCCCATCTTGGTCTGCGCCTGCCCCCGAGGACCTTCTCCCTGAGCCTGTGATATTTGGGGACAGCTTGGAAAGGGCACCCTGGAGAGGCAGAAGTCCCCAAGTCCCCCTCGGCACAGCTACTTGGCATGAGCCCTAGGGAGTCCCAGGAGGAGGGAAGGGACCCTCCAGGCTGAGACCTCCTGGGCAGCCCCTTACCCCACCCTGCCTCACACACACATGCACACACCTGCACACACATTCAGACACGCATGTACCTACACATACACACGCAGAGACTGGCCCACACACCCTGACACACGAGCATGCACACATCCACGTGCACACACACCTGCACACATTCACACACACATGTACTTTCAGGCATTGACCCACACACATGCATGTACACACGTGCACACACACCTGCACACACATCCACAGACACGTATCTGCAGGCATCGGCCCACACGCACCCTGATACATGTGCATGCACACATACATGCACGCACACCTGCACACACATCCACACAGACACATAACCTTCAGGCATTGACCCACACACATGTACACACATGTGCACACACCACGTGCACACACACACAGACCCATGTACCTGCAGACATTGACCCACAGGCACCCTGACACACACACCTGCACACACACCCACAGACACATACCTGCAGACATTGACCCACACGCATGTACACACATGTGAACATACACCCATGTGCACTCACACAGACACATGTACCTGCAGACATTGACCCACAGGCACCCTGACACGTGTGCATGTACACACACGTGCACACACACGTGCAGTCACACATGCACTCACAGGACACACGCATGTACACACGGAAACACACGTGCTCACACACACTTTTCTCCTGTGACTTAGGGGTCAGAGCGTCAGTGTCACTAAAAAGTGAGACAAGGTCCCCAGGCAGTGGGGCCCCTCCCAGAGCACAGCCTGCCTCCTGGCCCAGCCTCTCTGGGGATCTGGCCACTGGGGGCCTTGGGGACACCAGTCACTGCGAACAAGGACCACTGGGTTGTTGCCAAACCAGCTGTCCTCTCCCTGACGGGCCGGGCAGGCTGGGCCAGACCTGGGGCCGCGTCCCGGCTCTCAGTGGTCCCTGTGCCTGCACCTGGGTAGGCCTTTGCTGCCACCCTGGGCTCTGCAGCACTTGGTGCCAGGCACTTGCAGCGTGTTCCCTGAGTGACAGCGAAGTGCCAGGCCCTGCGACAGCTCCTCGCCCGACCCAGCGAGCTCGGCGTCCGTGGGAAACTAAGTAAGACGTTCTGGAAACCGTGAACGTCTCCCTTTGTCACTCGGGAACAAGGGCCCTTTCAGGGAGCAGGCGCGCGGCTCACTCCCGGAGGTTCTAAGCGAGGGTCTCTCAGTCACCAGACACTCCGGGTCACCACTCTGCCCGGCACCACTGACCGGCACTGCGCTTCTTCAGGCCTCGTCCTCTCCTCGCTTCTCTGCGGTAAAACTGGGATGTTCCTGCAGCACGGGGCACGGTGCTGTTGGAGGGTTTGGTGTGAATGTCCGGAATGCCCGTGGGCTGCGGCGGCTGTTCCAGCGGGTGACTTCACTGCGAATCGCTAATCCTGAGCTGCCAAGCTGGCTTCATGACCTCGGCTTCCTCGTTCATGATAACGGGGTCGTGGTGGCCGTGAGGATCACGTGGTATGTGAAACGCCGGGATGCACCGCCGTGCAGCAGACACCCGGCGTCCCGTGGCTGTGGTGCTGTTTCTGCCACGATCATGGCCTCGTGGTTCCAGTTAGGGAGTGTTTCGGGCCACACTGCTATGGGATCAGCCATAAACAGGAGACGATGGCCCTCGAGTGTGGGGACTGTCCGCGGCAGGGCCCTGCAGAAGCTCCCACCGGCCCCTCGGGCAGCGTGGAGCAGGGCAGCGCGGAGCAGGGCGGTGCTGGCGCTAGAGCCCACTCTGCACGTGGGGGCCTCTGCCTGTGCCCCAGGACGCAGAGACCCGTATGTCTGCCCCCACACCCCCCCACACCAGTCTGCTTCCACAAATACCATCCACACGAGCCCGTGCCCACGTGCTAACAAAGGGCTCCGGGCTGTGAGGGCCCCCATGAGGCGCGTTCCTCATGCTTTCCCGAGACGCTGTGGGTGGCACGTTCTGAGCAGCTGCAGACAACCCTGCTTCGCGGCAGCCAGGCCCCCCGCGGCCGGGCCTCACCTGCTCGCCTGCTGCGCAGTGAGCGCGGAGATGACACGTGGACCCGCTGAGCAGCTGCCGGTGCTGGGGGAGCCCTGAACTGCGCAAACCCTCACCCTTCCTCTTTCTTTCCCCACAGGACTATTTCTACCCGCGATACTTGGGTAAGTGTCAACCTCCACGTCACATAGTTGTCGCGGAGGCTCAGCTGGGGTGCATGTTCCGTGTCGGAGAACCCCGTTCCCGAGTTGCTCCTGGAGAGAAGATCGCTCAGCCCCACGGCGCAGAGCTGGCCGGGGCACGCAGGTCGGAACACGGTCTCCTTGTTTACTCCGTACCGTAATTTCACGCCATGTTTGCGGAGCCTCACCCGAAGCCGCTGTTCGCAGACCTGCATTAGCTCAGATCCGCTCTTGTCTGGAAGGGGACGGTGTGGGGGTCCCAAACCTCCTCTTCGCAGGACCCAGCACTGCTGAACCCACCGAGGCCCACAGAGGTGTTCGTGTGGACATTTAGCATATGATTGGTTAAGTCTGTGGACACCGAACATGCTCCTGCTTGAGGAATAGCAACGCAGGCGCACCTGCGGCCGTCAGAGCAGCGGGGTCACCGCACGTGGGAGGGGTGACGGCACAAACTCGTGACGCCCAGCCCTGTCGGGGCATCGCTTTGACCTCACGGCTCCTGAGAGGGGCCGATTATCCTTGGAGAACCACGTATACGATTAGCGCTGTTTTAAAGTTCTTTGGAGGCAAATCGCTTAAAAGGAGGGAAGGGTGTTCCTGGGTCTTCCTTTTCAATTTTGTAAAGTGCATTTTGTAAATTTATTGGCCTTATGCCCTCGGAGAGGTACCTGCTCTGGGTCCACATCTGGTGACAGACAGACTGGGCCCGTGGTTGGCCCTGAAGTCCCAGGCACTTGCCCGGCCCTGGACGTGCCAGTTTGGGATGTGGGGCAGAAGGTGCCGGTTATCCCGGAGTCCACGCTCCAGACATGCTCTGTCGCCAGCACCGTGTCCTCCGTGTGTGAGCAGCCGTGCTCTACGTCCAGACACGGCCCAACCCCCGCTGCTCAGTGCCCAGTTCCGGGCCATCCCTGGGTGCTGCGTCCAAACGCCGCGCCTCCCTCCCTGGGCTTCCTGCGGAGCATCCGCGTCCCGCTGTGCCCAGCGTGGCAGGGCGCGGGGAGGGACTTCCAAAGTGAGGACACGTTTCCCAGCGGGGGTCGACTGAACGTGAAGTTCAGCTCTCTGGCTGCTGTGAGAAACCCGCCGAGTGTCTCGGTGGGTCTCCGTGCAGCGGCAGGGCAGGCGCAGGCCGGGTGTGCACGCGCGGTCGTCGGGGTGCAGGGTGCCGTCGACTGGCGGCGCGGTCGCTCGCAGTGTTAGTGTGCTTTGCATGAACGAGAGCCAGACCGCGCTGTTGCTGGAGGCCGTGGCGCCCCAGGAAGAGGGAATAACGTGCCTTTCCAGGGTCCGCGAGGCTGCAGTTCTGCGTCCCGCTGTCCCCAAGCGAGCAAGACTCTCGCTGTCTGTCTTGCAGAGTGCATCGGCAAGCATGGGTCTCCATACTCCAGAAGCCCGGACTTCGCGGCCTGCGTCCAGAGTGAGTCTGTTTCCTCTGTCCTCCCCGGGGCACTGTGCTGGGCGACGCTGGGCATGTGGTTTGCAGGGTCCCAGACCTTTCTGTTACCTTCAGCACCTCCCTGCAGCCCACTCCCTTTTCACTAAACTCTCTTTTTTAGCAAGTAAATTTTGTTTTTCTAAAAACAAACAAAAAATGCACATGGAACAAAACTTAAACATTTCCCAGGGCACATCCCTGCTCTGTGTCCTTTACTTAGAGGCCACCGCGGTTCCCAGCTCCGAGTGCTCCGTGAACCCAGACCTGAGTGCACGTGAGGCGGCGTCTGTCCTCACACCGAGGCAGCGCCGCGAGCAGGGTCTGCGCCTGGCTTTGTGGCCGTCTGTCCCGGAGCTGGGTCAGGGCAGGTGTGGCGTGACGGCCTGTTTGGCCCGCAGCGTTGGCAGACATCCAGGTCACTGCCCACCTCTGTCGTTACAAACAAAACCAGGGCGATGCTGCCGCCGGCACCTCCTGCGCCCGGCAGAGAGGTGGGACAAGCGCAGAGTCAGACCTGCGCTCACCTTTCGTTTTGCCCGGAGCTGCCTTCGCCATTCGCCCCCACGAGGCCAGCGGCTGCGCTTCCCGACTTCTGCCCAACTAAGGGTCCTTTTAACTTTTCGATCGTCTTCCAACAAACAGGTGCAAAGTGACACCAGTTCTGCCAGTTTGCTTTTCTTACTAACGCGTGAGGCCGAGCTGCCTGTGCCTGAGAACCGTGTATTCCTTTTCCCATGAACTGTGTTCACGTTCTTTGCCCGTTTTTCTCAATTTGTAGGAGTTTGCAAATCAGCCGCTCGTACTAAAGGCAGCAAAACTTTTTCTCGGCCCGTCCCGAGTCTTCATTGGTGGTGTCACATTTAAGCGACTACACGGGGTTGGCATTTCTGGGTGTCCTGTGCGCTTGCGAACGTCCACACAGATGGCGCCCCGCACGGCAGGGACCCAGACAGCCCCGGGGCGCCCTGTCTGCGCCCTTCGGAGTCACGCAGGCCCGGCTCTCTGACGACAGGCGCTCAGCGGGGCCCGTGTCTGCGCTCCACAGCCGAGAGCCGCAGCGCCTGCCGGGCCCCGTGCTGTGGGAGTATTTCTGCTGTGCCCGTTCCACAGATGAGGGAAGGTGAGGCCCTGGGGGTGCCGGAGTCTCCTCCTGGGCTTGGCGCTGGAGCCCGGCAGGCCGCAGAAGGCCGCGTCCCGCACCTGTTGTCCCCGGAGCCACTGGGCAGGGCCTGCTGGTGCCGCCGTTGAGGCCTCGGCCCCGGCGTCGAGGTAGCCAGACCAGCCTCCCCTCCTGGCCGAGCCTCCCCAGGGGTCAGCCGGTGACCTCTGTGGGGTCCACACAGGCCTGGGAGCATGGCGGCAATTTCAGTTTCTTCTTATTGTCACTTTTTAGCGGTTTTCTGTTGTGAATTTGCTAAACCAGTGGCTTCTTTCTTAATTACGCGCTCACGCGTGTTAGCTCGTTTTTGTTCCTGGTTTCACATGTCTTGTTGCGAGATCATGCAGCAGCTGTCTGTGTTCCGGCGTGTGGCCCGTGGCGTCCTCTGCTACGAGCAGCGCAGCGGGGCCCAGCAGCCCTCGTTCCGGCCCCGCCCGGCTGGGACGCGCAGGCGCACTGCTCTTCATCACGCTGCCCGCGCTCGGCCTGTTCCTGGCTGTTCTGCTGCTGCCGCGCACAGGCTCGTGGGCTCCCTGACCTGCGGCGTCTGTGCAGGTCGCCGACCCCACCTGCTATTTCTGCGCCATTCGTCTCGCAGAGTTACTCACTGTTTCGGTTCGTCGGGTCATTTCGGGCATCAGAGTCCCGAAAGACGTTCAGTCGCAGCGTGCGTTCTCGTGGGAGTGGAGACCTCGTCCTGCAGGGGCTGGCTTCGCGCGCTGGTTGGAGGAGGAGTCTCCTGCTGCTGCCCCCTGCCCGCCGCAGAGAGAAGCGCCATGTCTCCCCAGCGTTTGCCCACAACTCACACCTGCGGCCAGGGAGGTGCTGTGAGGTCCTGCAGTCGGCAGGGAGGCCGGCGCGACACCACGTCCTGCGCAGGGGCAGGCGCCAGGCCTGAGCTCGGATGCGGTCGAGGCAGCTTCGCATCTGGGCTGTCGGTTCCTTTGTGAAACACTCTCATCTGGGATTTGTGGGCACTTGTCACAGCTCGAGTTCCTTGTTCAGAAGTGACAGTATCTGTCATTGCTAAGATTAAAGCAGGAGCCTCAGAGACTCCAGATTGAGTCCCAGGCGGGCACGGACCCCAGGGGTCCCGTGTGGGGGCCACACCCCGAGGGCAGTGCACGTGCTGGGCGGTGGGGCCAGGCCAGGACTCTGTCCTCTCGGTGCCCAGGAAGAGCCTCGGTCTCCATTTCCTGCCTTCCCACCGGCAGTTCCAGCTTCTCTGCAGCCGGAGGCACTCGTCCTGCCCGCATGGGGCGGTGGTGGCGTCTGGTGCTCAGGGCCCCTGGCCCCTGGCCCTGGGCATCCCGGGAAGGTCGTTGCGGGCCGCGGTCCAGGCAGGGGGCGCAGTGCCCCACAGGGTCCTCCCCCAGAGGAAGCGTCCCCCTCGCCCCTTCTCCCTGGCAGAACAAGGCCCAGCGCCGGCCTGGCGCGTGCGGTCCTGGTCCCGCTTGTCCTCGCCCCGGAAAGGCCTGTCGGCCGTGGGCGTGAGGCTCACACTTTACCTGCAACCACAGCTGCCCCGACACTCTGCCCCGCCACGGCGGCCACGCGGCCCCATGCCCTCTGCCGGGCGTGCCCCGTGGGGCCTGGCGAGGTTTTGTCATCACGCGCTTTTCCTGAATGTGTCCCCTAGTTCCACAGAAGTCTGCGGGGCCCCGGCTGGGTGTCCGCCACTTGACGGCTTCCTCTTGTCCTAGAGACGAGTTTCCCACAGAGAAGTGGCTAAAATCGGTGGTGAGCGGCGTTCTCTGGGGACAGCACCGTGGCTGGCTCCAGGAGTGTGGGAATCTTGGGACAGTCCTGCCCCAGGCAGTCGGCCGGGCCTCCAGCCCCGGGCACAGAGGCTGTGACGGAGGGGCTGGGCGTTCCGGCAAACTCAAGACCAAGTCAGCCAGCCCTCCGCGTCGGGTCACAGGTTACGCTTCTGAGATAACGCTGGGTCTTTAAGCGAACGCTCCAGGTGGAAGTGCACCCATCCCCTAGACCTCCCTCCCCGAGGGTCCGGCCCACGGCTACCCCGGGGCTGAGGCGGGGATGGGGAGGCAGACGCAGCTCCGTCTCTCTCCTTGTGGCCGACGCACCTCCCAGCCTTGAGTGCTGGCTGGACAGTGGTGCCCCAGGTACGGCCCAGCGAGGGCTGCGGCAGGATGAGGCGCACGGCAGCCAATGTGCCGCAGAATCTCTGGTCCTGACCTCCTTTGCCGTGACTCCGGCCGACAGACCCGTCCCTGCTGACCTGCCAGAAACAGCCAAGCGAGGGTCCCAGACGAGAGCCAGGCGCTCCACCCACATCCAGTGTTTTGTGGGCTCTGATTTGTGCAAAACAGGCAAACTGCGCGGCGCACTGTGGGACAAGCTCAGAAGGGAGCTGGAACATCACGCAGGTTGCCTGAGGAGCCTGGTCAGCCCCGATCTGCCCGGGCGACAGGCCCCACCGTGACCCAGCGCCAGCTGACAGAGTAACAGCTGTGAACTCAGAACTGGTCACCTCCTGCCGGAGCAGGCGCGCCCTGCGCCATGGAGGGCAGAGGTGGCGGCTCTGGCGGGCGTCCGTGGGCTGACCACTGAGAGCAGATCGGCCACTGGCCCGACCGTCGTCCCGGAGAGCGAGGAGACCCACTGGCGAGAGCGCCCACCTGGCGCAGCCTGGAGCACCTCCAGCTCCTCAGCAGTGCCAGCCTGGCGCCCACAGCCCTGCCGGCCTGGCCGGGCTTGTCCCCGGCCACGGCCCACGTTACACTCTCGTGGAATCAGCGGGTGACTTCAGATTGCGCGGGGTGGGCGGGACAGAGGGAGGCTGGATGTGCGGCAGTTCGCGGAGTGGAAGAGCCCGTCCAGGCCATGGACTTGCCGCCTTCCCCTCCCCGGGGAAAACACACTTAAAGCAAGTTTGTTTTCTCCTAACAGTGAAACAGTTACAGCAATTTTCACACTGTGGGCTGGTCACTTAGCACTCTGGGGCTGTTTCTTCCTTCCTGGCTCAGAGGTTCTGGACGGTCCCATGAGAAGAACCAGCCCGTGTCAGGACGGTGTTAAGCGTGGTGGCCTCAACTGCGTCCAGGGCTGGTCCGGGCTGGGGCAGAGGTCAGAGGCTGCCCTGCTAATTGCCAGGGCCTGGGGTGTTCTGACAGCGGGGAAGCAGGGAGCGTGTGCCCGTCACCCTCACCCAAAAACAAAGCCCACGGGAGGACTGCGGTCTCGTCCTGGGTCTCAGCGCGGTGACACCCTCGGGAACGGGCGAGCTCACGTGGGCTGTCTGGGGTCAGCCCAGGTCCTGCCTCTAACAAAGGAGCCGCCCTGGACAAGACAAACTCACCCTTGTAGGAGAAGGAAGTGGGAAAAGGAATGACTCGGAGACGTGCGGCATTGCCAAGCAGAACAGTTCCCTCGAGAGAGGAAGACAGACCACAGACTGCAGAGGAACAAAGGCGGAAACAGATCTGCGGAAGGCTGGGCCCTTCCTCGCAAACGGACAGTGGCCCGCGGCGCAAAGTCAGCCTGCACGCCGCATCTGACGAAGCAGCTGCGGCCGGGAGACAGTCCTGCTTGCTGAGAGTCTCTGACTCCTCGGCCAACATGGCTGCGTCTGCACCTCCCTGAGGGCCGCCAGCACCGGGTTTTTCAGAGCCTTCCAGAAAGGTCCCAAATGGCTGCGTGTTGGCCCCCACGACGCTCGGCTGCGAACCCTGCAGGGTTCCCCAGGAGCAGAGCGTGGAGAGGCATCTGGCGCGGCCCCCGTCCTGCCTGTGCCCAGCCCGCTCTCCTGCCCGGCCAGCTGCCCCGTGAAAGGACTCTTTGAGCTCCGGGTGTAGTCACAGTTCCCTCTGCCAACCCGAGAGCCCCAGGGTTGCGTAACTGCACACACAGGGGGCTCCCCGCCTGCTCTGCGGCGTGCGCCAGCTCCGTGTCACGGAAACTGCAGCCGTGTCTGCGAGAAGCTCCTCAGAAAGGAGCTGCGTCGGAACGTTTCTGTGGCCATAGGCCCCGAAACAGAGGCTGGAACCAGGCAGGCGGCAGCCGTGTCCGAGTGCTCGGCTCTGCTGGGCCCAGGCGGCTGCGTCGCGAGCGGGAGGCAGGACACACCGGCGGGGCTGGGCGTCGACCAGAGGTGGACCCTTCCCGCCAGCGCAGCCTGGGCCTGGGGCCTGGTCCCTCCCTGTCTTTGCAGGCGCCCGCCACCCACATGCTCAGCGTGTGCACGCAGAGAGCGTGTTTAGGCTCGGCGGGAAGGTGGAATGTTCCATGTCTGCCTGGGAGCCCTGGAGTCAGCTCCCTGGGAGGCCCCTCGGCCCCTCCCCGCCCGGCTGAGGTCGAGGCCCAGCTGCTTCCTCCCAGCTGACTGGGTTTTCCCGGAACCGGGCCCAGGGCCTAGCTCCTGCCCAGAGGTGGGACTCGACCGGCCTAGGCCAGTGCCGGGGGCCCCGGGCCCGCTCCCAGCAGCGGGGGAGGCTCGGGCGCAGCTCAGGCGGCTCCTCTGTGTCCTCCGACTCAGGCCTGCCCGACCAGTGCACTCCAAACCCCTGCGATAAGGAGGGCGCCCAAGTCTGCCAGGACCTCATGGGCAACTTCTTCTGCCTGTGCAACGCCGGCTGGGGGGGCCGGCTCTGTGACAAAGGTAGGGGCCGCCACCGCTGCCCTGCGGTGGGAAGGGCCCCCGCGGCCCCACTGTGCCCCCAGGTGGGCGGGTGGGGGCTCCCTGGGAGACCTGGAGGGGCGGGCAGGTGGCAGGAGCGGAATGCCAGGAGAGGGCGGTGATTTCACCTCTGACCTCCCGAGCTAGCGCAGGCTCAGGCGTGAGCAAAGACTGCGGTTGGGGGCTGGGGGCGGAATAGCAGCACAGTCCGGGACCAGGCTGTGCCCTCAGGCTGGCCCATCCCAAGGGATTCGTTCTGCCTCCCGCCTGTTGCCGCCTCCCCCACCGCCAGGGCACCCGCGCCCCTCCCCCAACGCCCACACCCCTCCCCCACCACCCCTGCAGCCTGTCCTTGTTTGCAGATGTCAACGAGTGCAGCCAAGAGAATGGCGGCTGCAGCCAGGTCTGCCAAAACCAGCCGGGCAGCTTCCACTGCGCCTGCTACAGCGGCTTCGCACTCTCCGCAGACGGCAGGACCTGCCAGGGTAAGGCCAGTTCCTGTTTCTGGAAGGGTCGGTTGGGGCGTCCTGCAGAGACAGCACAAGCCCGGGCATGCCGCAGATGGAGCCGGGGCTCCCGCCAGGAATGATTCACCAGGACCCGAGGGCGAGAACTGGGGTCAGTCCAGCCAGTGAGGCTGAACCGCTGGCTTTGGGGCCCCTTCCAGCCCCCGGAGGCTGTGGGGAGCCTGGACCTCCCCAGGCGGGTCCCGCCCAGTCACACCCGCCAAGCCTCCCCACCTGCATTCCCGCTTCTGGTCAGTCTGGGCTCCCCCGGACTGGAACGGGGCAAAGTCACCATGACCACGTGCAGCCTGCCACGTCCGTCCCAGGGACTGCCCTGGGCTTTGCCACTTCGGGGGCCCACCTTCCTCCTCCCTCCCCGGATCGGGACCTGCCCGGCGTGCCGCTGCCACTCACCCAGAGCGCCGCACTGTAGCAGCCGCGGATGTGCCGGGCAGGGACAGCAAACCTGAACCCCGCAGGAGGGGTCCCTGTTCTGCCCCCCACTGTCAAAAAGCGGCTTCAGCTTGTGTCCACCTGAGTGGTTCCCACCATTCCCATCTCGGCGCGTGCGCTAACCCGCTTCCCCTGCAGCCGGTGCTCCCGCCTGCAGAACAGAGCCCTCCGCCACGGCTCTGCCCCGACCCGGAGAGGGACCCCCCGCTGTGCAGGCAGGTGCAGGACCCACAGGTGGGAAGTGTCCACACGCGCCAGCACGCAGCGAGCGCCTGACGAGGCTGGTGTCCAGCCGCCGCCTGGGGCGGAGGATTCCCACCTGCTCCCCCCTGCGTCCCCGTCCGGTTCTCTGTGCCTGGAGAACACCGTGTCCCAGGTGTGCAACTCACCTCCGCCTGGGCTCTCGGCACTGGACGCTGGGTTGCCAGGTTAGCGGCTCAGGTCTGGGGCTGCGTCACAACTGACCAACCGAGGCCAGCCCGTGGGTCTCCCTGGGGTGGGACCCTAGCGGGAAACATCCCCGGGCGGTTGGTTACTTCTCCACCTCCTGCAGCCACCAGGTAAGTTACACCCCCACACCAGCCTGGCAGTGCCCTTCCAGCCGCTCTCGGTCTGAAATCTATTCTCTCCCACGTCCCCCGTCGCATGTGCTGCCGCCTGACGCGGAGCTGCCTGTCCAGGCAGGTGGGCCCAGGGCCCTGGCTGGCGCCAAGCCTGGTGGCACCTCAGCGTTCTCCTCCCATAGCCCCGGCAGCCGCCGCAGCGTCCCAGCCTGCGGTGACACACAGCGGCCTCCTGACCGCCGGTTTTGCTTGCAGACATAGATGAATGCGCAGACCCGGGGGCCTGCGGAGAGGCGCGCTGCGCGAACCTGCCCGGCTCCTACTCGTGCCTGTGCGACGAGGGCTTCGCGTACAGCTCCCAGGACAAGGCCTGCCGAGGTACCCGCGGCCCAGCCGTCTCCGTGCCCAGGCCGAGAAACACACCCTGGCGACCCACCGCGGGCGGGCCTAGGACAGACGAGGGTGGGGGGAGGCGGGCAGCTCGGGAGAGAGATTCTGTCCCTGAAACTGAGCCACACACGCACCAACCAGGTAGCAGCCTCTTCTACCGCTGGGCCCACACACGTGCCCACACACGGTCCACACGCTCACACACGCACATGCATCACGCAGTGCACACATACACACGTATAGCAGTGCACTCATGTACGTACACATGCACACATGGGAGCACGTACAGGTGCACGCGTGTGAACCCACATGCACAGACCACATGCCTGTCCTGGGCCACACAGACACAGAGGTCAGCAGGGCGGGGGGCAAGGGGCTGTGAGCTCAGCTGCCTGGCGGGGGAGACGCGACGCCCAAGCTCGCTCTTTAGATCTCCGTGTGTCTACGCGGCGTGATCACATGTGATCAGAGGCCAACGCTGCAATCACGTGGATGGGAGGGCACGGGGGCGTCGCCCTGCTCACTGCCCTGCTCACTGCCCTGCTCACCGCCCATCCCTTTGCCCAGCAGATGTGGACGAGTGTCTGCAGGGCCGCTGCGAACAGGCCTGTGTCAACTCCCCGGGGAGCTACAGCTGCCACTGCGACGGGCGCGGCGGCCTCAAGCTGTCCCCAGACATGGACACCTGTGAGGTGGGTGGCCCAGGGGCCCCACTCGCTACTCGTTGCCTGTGACCCTACACGCTGACAGGGCTTGCGGAGAGGCTGGGGGGTCAGCCGCGCGGCCAGGCCCGAGGTGCAGACCGTCTGCTGTGAGACACATGTTTGGCTGTGTTTGTGCATCTCCATAGCAACTCCCGCCGCGCTGGCCAGCCTGGCCACACACCCGGTGCACGGTCCCTGGCCTCTGCCAGGCTGCCTGCGCGGCCCAACCGGCCGCACCTGGGGGACTCGGCGCTGCCTGCGTGGGGGACATGTGGGGACACTCCAGCCTGTGCCAGCTCTTAGCTTCCCTTTCCCTGGGGCCCTTTGCCTGGGAGGGGATCATGGTGAGCGCTTATTAAAAAACAAAACAAAGGGCTCCTCAGACAAAGTAGCCACGGTGACAGCCTCTCAGGATCGCGGACCCCGGACGTGGCGGCCGCCTGGTCTGGGCTCAAGAGGTGCGGGATAGCCGGCCAGCTCACGAGACGCTTGCCCGTGTGGCACGCTGTCCTCGGGCGGCTGCATGGCCTCCCTCTGTGCCGCGCCAACTCACCCCGGCTGGCCCGGGCGGGCAGAGCAGCCACACGGCCCTCCAGGGTCCTCGCGCCGGCCCTGGCTCGGCCTCCCTCGGCGGCGTGGAGAAGACGCAGCCCAGAGCAGGGGGTCGCAAGGCCTCCGCGTGCTACTTGCTTCGTGATAGTGCGCAATAGCTTGTCACGGCTCTCCATGCTTTCCTATGCGTTTGCTTGGAACATCTCATGGTTTAGAACGCGAGGGCAAAATGCACATTAGTAGGGAAGGAAGCAGTGAGTGCCCTGGAGCAGCCCGGTGGGATTCTGACCCTAACGAGCAAACCCCTCTCACCTGGGTCCCCGCGGGCTGGGCGGTGACAGTCTCAGGGACTTTGGGAGCACAAGGTGGGCACCACACTCCCTGGGATGCGGGAGGACGGGGCCTGGTGCTACAGAGAGCGGGGAGAGGGCGAGCGGAGGGGCGTCCGGCTGACGCGGCCCCTCCCATCCCCAGGACATCTTGCCCTGTGTGCCCTTCAGTGTGGCCAAGAGCGTGAAGTCCTTGTACCTGGGCCGGATGTTCAGCGGGACCCCCGTGATCAGATTGCGCTTCAAGCGGCTGCAGCCCACCAGGTGAGACCCTTCACGCACAACAACAAAGTAAGCCAAGTGGCCGCCATGTGGGTTCACGGGTCCTGGGCCCAGCAGGTGCCCCGGCCTTGCGTTGGGGGCCGTCCCAGGCAGGGCGGGGCCTGAGCCCTCAAGTGACCGGCTGGGGCGGGGCCGGGCTCTGCTGTGCAGACCCTGACGCCCCTCGTGTGCCCAGACTCGTGGCTGAGTTCGACTTCCGGACCTTTGACCCCGAGGGGGTGCTCTTCTTTGCCGGAGGCCGCCAGGACAGCACCTGGATCGTCCTGGCCCTGCGGGCCGGCCGGCTGGAGCTGCAGCTGCGCTACAATGGTGTGGGCCGCGTCACCAGCAGTGGGCCCGTCATCAACCACGGCACGTGGCAGACGGTGAGTGTGAACCCTGCGCCCGGCCCAGGGTCTCCTACTGGCCTGCTGGACAGCTGGGGGGGCGACTCTGGGCGCCATGCTGTACGCACGTGACGGGGACCAGGGACCCTCTGGGGGACGGTGTGGAGCCCAGGGCCTCTCGTGATGTCACGCCGCATCTAAGTGAAGATCCCGCAGGGAAGGGCCTCGAGCCAGACCCTAGTTCTCAGTTCCAGGGGACACGTGGCTGTGTCTGGGGACAGTTCTGCTTGTCACCGGGGCGGGGGAGACGCTGGGGCAGCCCGGGACGCCCGCCACAGGGTGGTCCGGCTGCAGCGCCTGTAGAGCCTGGACCACAGCCGCCATCTGCACGCGGCTCCTGGCCGTGGCCTGACTGGGCGCCGCGCGCCTGCCTTTCTGTGAAGGACAGCGTGGACACAGCCGTCCCGGCTCCCATGGTTCCTGCGGAACATCCAGGTGAGCGCAGGCTGGGGCTGCTCTTCCCAGCGACGTCCAGCCGCCTGGACCCAGCCCGTGTGGGCAGCCCGAGGGCGTCCCGGTCAGGCCTGCACGTGGGCAGCGGAGGTCTGTCCCCAGCTCTACCGCGGAGCCAGACCGTCGGCAACAGAACAGAACAGGCTTCCACTGGCAACGCCTGGGGCCCCAGACCAGACGGGGCGTTTGGAATAAGCATTGGAAGAACCACAGAAGAGCAGTCTGTCCTTCGGAAGCCAAGATAAAATGGAAAGATTCGCCCTGGTCTCCGCGAATGAGACACTGCGGACGCTGCTGGTGCTTCCACCCTGACAGTGACGTCCCGCTCCTTCCCTCACCGCTCCAAGGACCAGGCCTCTCCGAGCACTGGGAGAGACGTTCTCAGCAAAGCCACAGATAAAACAGCAACGAGGAGGACACGGTCCCAGGGACGCAGGACATGCGCCGCACACACTGCGCGGGGACCACGTGGTCCTGCCACGCAGCTCACGGCGGCCGCCCGCCCCACACAGGTCCTCCCAGAGGATGTGGGCGGCCACGGGTGAGGCCCCTGCCCCAGTCACCAGACACACCACGTTCTTCTGATCACTTCGGGTACAAGCAGGTGACACGGTTTCCACTTCAAGAGGAATCAGATATTCTTCTGGAGTTTAGGAACATGTATCGACCATGTAGTGGCAGACTCCAAAGTTTCTACTTGGAAAGTTCTGAACGACTTGGTTGGTTCATTCAAGTCCCTCCTGGCCCAGGTGGGACGAGCCTGCCCCCCCCCCCCGAGGTCGGGACCCTCCTGGCCCAGGTGGGACGAGCCTGGCCCCCCAGGTGGGCTGCCCCTTCAAATGTGGGCTCCCACGTGGGCTCCCACCTGTCCTCACAGCTCCGTCTTTCTCAGATCTCCGTGGAGGAGCTGGAGCGAGACGTGGTGGTGAAGGTGAACAAGGACGCCGTCATGAAGATCGCGGTGGCCGGGGACTTGTTTCAGCGGGACAGAGGCCTGTACCACCTGAACCTCACCGTGGGCGGCATTCCCTTCAAGGAGAAGGACCTGGTACAGCCTGTAAGTCCCACCCCGTCCCCGGCGCTGGCGCGGGGATGTCGCGGTTTCCCGTGGGCTGAGTGTGGCCCAGGACCGGGGACGGCAAACTCCTAGAGCGTGGCAGACAGCAGGGCGGCTGCGTCGTTAACCTCACCTTCTCTTCTTATGAGACTCACTTAAGTTTTTGTCTAAACTGCTGATAAAAATGTCATATTGCAGTACAGATAAGACAGTGAAATTACTATTCTTCCACCAAAAAACAGAAAATCAACTTTCTGGATGTTCCCAAAAACGTGTCGGACTGTTGACCCTGCCGTGGTTTCCACAGTGCTCGGGAGGTCGGTGCGGGTCCTGCCTCCCCCTCCCCGCACCACACGCCTTCGCGCCGCGCCGGGGAGTCTCTACTTCCCCCGCTGCCGTCCTCGCCAGAATCCGTGGTGTAGGGAGTGTGGTTTCCACCCACGTAGGGAAAGGCGTGCGCCTCTGGGTGCGGAAGGCCGTGGTGTCGGCCCGGAGCCCCAGGGCCGCAGGAGGCTGTCCGGACGCCCCTGGCCCCAGCCCCCGCACGCTCACACCGCCTCGACCGCAGGGCAAGGCCGAGGCCACCCGCTTTGTTCACAGTCGTGCTGGACATCAAGTAATCCCGTTGCGGTCTTGGGTACACAGCTCGTGTTGTTTGATCTTGGATTCACATGTTCTCCATCCTTTTCTTTGGAGAGATTTGAAAGCTAGCTTCACTTCCGGAGCACACAGCGCCAGAACCCCGTGTGGAAACGGGTGTTCCAAGTCACTCTGTCAAGTGCAGAGCCCTTTTGTGAAACCACCACCACAAACGCGATTTACCCATTTTGCCGCAGACCCCGCTGGCCGTGTGGCCCCGCGCGTGGGGCGTGGCTCCCAGAGGCCGCCGTGGTTTCTGTCTCCCCAGATAAACCCGCGCCTGGACGGCTGCATGCGGAGCTGGAACTGGCTGAACGGGGAGGACTCCGCCATCCAGGAGACGGTGCGGGCGAACGCCAGGATGCAGTGCTTCTCGGTGACAGAGAGGGGGTCCTTCTACCCCGGGAACGGGTTTGCCTTCTACAGCCTGGACTACGGTGAGTCCCGCAGGGGCCGCGTTGTACTTTCAGCCACATTTACGCTAAAACGAGCAGGCCGCCACGCCCGCTGCTTCCCACCTCGGGGCAGGGTTGGCGACAGGCTGGGGCCCGCCACGGGCGCTCAGGGTGGCCCTCCTGGTCTCCCTGGGTTTTGAAGAAACGACAGGGACGTGCAGAGCCAGGTGCCCAGCCCTGGTGCCAGGGGCTGGGCGGGAGGGGATGGTCCAGGAGGATCCTCTACAGGAAGTTTTGAGATGGCGCAACTTGGGCTTGTCCGTGTGCGCGAGGCCCTCAGTGGCGGAGTGGACGCGGCAGTCGCCGTGACTCACTGAGGAATAAAAGAGGACGCAGTAGAGACGGCGGTGTGGCTGCCCCAGGGACGCCAGGGAGTTCGGACTAGAACATGAGAGGAGTGGGAGGAGGACAGGGGCCTCGGGAGTGGATCTGAGCAGTGGCGAGGGCCCAGGTGCTCGAAAGGACAGCCCACGCAGCTGCAGCTCAGGGCACCGGGAGCAGGGCGGGGGCAGGGTGCGCCCGGGGCAGGGCCATGGTCTGTCCAGGATGCCCGCAGCCCATGTGCCCGGAGGGCCCTGGGGGTGCCAAGGGCTGGATCGAGGGGGCGTGGACCCCACCCCCATCTGCCAGCATGACGGCCGCGGGCGGGCGGGCAGCTGGGGACAGCTGTGGCAGGAGGCGGCAAATGTTGGGCCCAGAGGCACAGCACAACCCTCTCTCTGTGCTTATTGCCAGACTGGCGGAAATTCACAGTAAAAACACTCCTGAGATGCTGATAAGTGAGCAGCACTCAGAACTTACACGGGATGAGCTAACGCACCGGCCTCCTCAGGTGCGGGTCCCCCTCCCCGGGGCCATGTCCCTGCTGTGTCCCCCACTCCCACCTTGCGGGTCCCCCTCCCCAGGGCCGTGTCCCTGCTGTGTCCCCCCTCCCCGGGGCTGTGTCCCTGCTGTGTCCCCCACTCCCACCCTGCGGCTACCACTGGGGCAGCCCCGTCCCGCTCTGCCCCACTCTCCCCTGGCCGTGCCAGGGCGCAGGCAGCACCTGCTCTGTCAGGCCCCAGGCTCCGGACCTTGGGCGCCCTGCAGGACCCCCATGTTCAAGGAGGGCCCTCCCGGTCAAGGGACGGGACCTGCTCCTCTGCCTGAGGCCGACCTCGGCTCACCACCTGCCCGTAACCATCGAAACCACGACAGTCAGGAAAGGTTCTGTGAGAAGAGAACCATTCACCTTTCGTTGCAGCACCTGTGTGTTGCACGCGCTGTTCCAGTCTTTACACGCACAAATCCAGCACGTCATTGCCACGTTTAACATGCGATAATGTAACACGACGTGCTCACTTCTAACCACTTAACGACGTGAGCACTTCCCAAGTCACACAGACACCACACCCACGGCGTCTGGTGACCGTGTCTCTCGTGGTCTGCCCACCACGCTGCTGTCGTTCTGATCTGCGAGGTCTGAGACAGCAGAGGCCACGTGGAATTCAGCTCTGAATGGGGCGCCCAAGCTCCTATGCATTTTAATGAGTCTCACTAAGCCATTAACATCCATTTCACAAGACTCATCGGGAAGCTAAAGTGCTGGACTGACTCACACCGCAGCAACCAGGAGGGGCGCGGCCCCCGTCCAACGTCAGAGCAGCCTCTGCGTGGAGGTCTCTGCTCTGTGCCAGGGAAGACGTCCCAGGAGAGCTGGGCTGGTGCCTTTGGGCCGGCAGCGTGTGCCTGGACACCTGCCGGGGCACGTGGGGTTAAAAGGTCTCGCGCCTCTTCTTCACGAGGAAGGAAAGTTTGCAGGGAGAGAAGGCTGTATTTGTGTTACTTTTCCAAATCCGCGTGCCTCAGTTACTGAGAACTGCCCATCACAGACACCAGCGAGGGATGGGCGCTGTGTGACTGGGTTTCAGGAGCTCACGGTGGTGGGGACAGAGCACAGGTCCGCCCTGACCCGAACCCGGCCTCCAGCGGGGGGTGTCTGCACAGATCTGTGCACATACCAATTCAGTGTCACTTTGCCCAAACACTCTTGCTGTAGGCCTGGGAACTTCCCGGTGACATAAAAGCACTCAACACCCAGGCCGTGGAGACCGTCCTCTGGCTTCTTAGTCGGCGGGGGTTCGAGTGCAGAGCCAGGCGTGGGCGGCATCTGCCCCGGGAGAACCAGAGTTGGCCCTTTGTACCAAACACCCCCGTGGGGCCATCTGCGAGAGACACGGGTGTCACATATATGCTTCATTCCGACACACTATGTATGAGACACGTATGTGACACAGGCGCACACAGCGTGTGCGTGACAAGCCCTCCACTGAGGCACCGGAACAGTGAAACCTCGCAGCTCGGAGTGCAGAGTTGCATGCGGTGTACACGGCACAGCCTCCCACTGCGATTTAAGTCTCCAACCCGCGCTGCTGCCTGAGGCCCGGGGAGGTGGCGGCTTTGCAGGAGGAGCTGCCTCCGCTCCTGCGGCAGCGGGAGGAGGTCAGCGAGGCCCCAGTGGGCGGCGGTGTGGCCCGGCCATCCCCCAAAGGGGCATTTGGAAGGGGGTGCTGGCGTGGCCAGCGGGGAGGCTGCCATCCTCTGACGACCCCGAGCCTTCGTGCCGTGGGCGGGATCTGAGCCGAATGCACAAGTCCCCGTCACTGCCCCGACACAGACGCAGCTGGGGGGTCTTGAGAGCTCAGCGCCGAGTCAGCGCAGCTTCGCCTCCCCCAGCCTGGCCAGCGCCGCTGCTCACGCCGCCTTCCTGCCTCTTGCACCACCTTGTAATGCGCGGCTTTCATCGCAGTGCGGACCTCCCTGGACGTCGGGACGGAAACCACCTGGGAAATAAAAGTCCTGGCTCGGATTCGCCCCGCCACAGACACCGGGGTGCTGCTCGCGCTCTGGGCGCCCGACCACCGCGCCGTGCCCTTGTCCGTGGCCCTGGTCGACTACCACTCCTCGAAGAAGCTCAAGAAACAGGTACGGCGGCCCCTGCGCCCGGAGGCCTGTGTGGGCTGCACCCCCCGCCCACCCGACTCTGCCCCCCGGGGTCTATCCCAGCCTGCAAAGCCCTGGCCAGAGGTTCGAGCAGGCGAGCTTGGCGCAGTCCGCCTCCGAGTCACGGTCGTCTGACACCAGCCGCCTGCGGGCCACAGTGGGCGCTCAGGTGTGGGTTCCCCGCACGGCGGGCAGCGCAGCGGTTTAGAGCAATCTGCTCCTGCTGTCAGACGACGTCACTAGCAAATTCAGCTTCCAGTTTCCTGGAAAACTCGGCTCTGCCGACACCCGCTGCCGCCAACGGCATCTGTCCCCAGGCGGCGCTGGCCCCACCGTGCCACTGCCCCACACCCACTGGGAGCATTTCAGGTCAGAGTCAGGTGCCGGCTCTGCTCTCTCCCCTCCGGCCAAAGGAGGAAACACAGGTCTGGCCAGGGATCAGGTCCCCTGTACACTTGCCCCGAGGGTGGGAGCCCCCTGGTCACCTGGCTGGACCCCGAGGAGGCCCCACACCTGTCGCCTCCAGACCCAATCCCAGCATCTGGAAATGGCAGCGGCAGGTACCCTGTGTGCGCGGTGGGCAGCTAGGCAGCCAGGCCATGGTGCCTTGAGCCACACTGCCGGGCCACCCGCCGGCTTCCTCCAGGCCTGTGTCCTGGCCCGTCGCGGGCACAGCCACCCTCCGGTTATGCCGATTCAGGCAGTGCCTGGTCTGATGCCTGGCACGTGTCTGACCCTCCCTGACCCTGGCTGCATCCACTCTGCAAGCACCTCCCAGCCAGCCCCTCGCTTTAGGCAGAAACTGAGGCAGGCAGGCAGGCGGGTCGCCCGCAGGTGGCGAGCGCAGAACCGGGGCTCCACCCAGCGCCCCATGCACACCCTGACCATGCCTTGGTGTCCCTGCAGCTGGTGGTCCTGGCGGTGGAGAGCATGGCTCTGGCCCTGGTAGAGATCAAGGCGTGTGACGGACAGGAGCACGTGGTCTCCGTGTCCCTGCAGGAGGGGGCGGCCGCGCTGGAGGTGGACGGCACCCGGGGCTGGAGTGAGGCCAGCGCCACGCAGCTGCGGGAGAGGCTGGACACGCTCGGACGGCACCTGCAGGGCCCGGTGCTCACCTTTGCCGGGGGTCTGCCAGGTAGGGCCCGCGGCTGAGAGCACCATGGGGTCACCCTCTCCAGTCCATCCTGGACAGGGCGGGGTTTCCGTCGTGTGGGGGGGTTGTTTCAGGAGGGAGGTCGTCGGGCCACGGTGAGGCCTTGGTGTGGATGGCGTCAGTTTAGTGGCCCAAGCCAGCCACCACCTTCCCGTGTCCCTCCCAGCCCATCAGCCCAGTGGAGGGCCAGGCAGGAGCTGTGGGCAGTTAACGGAGGAACCGCCAGCCCCTCCCGCGTCCAGCAAGGATGTCCAGCTTGTCCTGCCGGCTCATGCAAACCCGGGGTGGGACCCGTGTCTAATTAAGAACGTCCTCACCCATGGCCAGGAGCCACGAGGTGGTACTGACGGGTAGATGGAGCCAGGCGCTCGCAGACGCCCCCTTCGTGCCCAGCTCAGCACAGGTCGTTGCCGTGAACAGCAGGGTCTGTCCCAGCTGCCAGACTCGAGCTCCGCCCAGTTTTAGCAAACAGAGCTTTGAAGAGGGTCAGAGCGGGGAAGCCCTGCAGTGGGACGACTCCTGGGCCAGGAAGGAGACGACATTTGGTCGAAGCTCTGTGCCCCTGGGGCTGGCGCTGCCCGTCTGCGGGAGGGTCCGCAGACGGGAGGGAATGGCGCCCTGCGGGAACCCGGGCGGCAACCACTAAGCTCCATCTGTCTCTCCCCACCGGCCCAGACGTGCCCGTGACCGCGGCGCCAGTCACAGCGTTCTACCGCGGCTGCATGACACTGGAGGTGAACGGGAGGCCCCTGGACCTCGACGAGGCCGCGTACAAGCACAGCGACATCTCCTCCCACTCCTGCCCTCCAGCCGCGCCCAGCACGCCCTAGGCCTGCGCGACACTCTGCAACCAGGACTCCTCATGCCCTTCTGCCAAAGACCAGAAGGGAGAAGGGGGCTCGACTCCCCCGGGACCTGCCTCTGCCTGTAAATACCTGTAAATAGTGGGACGGGGTCTGCAGCCCGCACTCGCTGCGGGGTCCCGAGAGAGCCCGCCCGGCGCGGGAGGCAGCGCGGCAGGGCAGACTCAAAGAACATAAGGCTCTATTATTTTTATTACCAAATGCTTCTGACTGTAAACGTGGAAAATAAAATATTTACAGAAAACTTTGCGCTGTGTTCAGGATCATCTGCTCCTCGCACGTTTTTAGCACGCAGCAGCTTTCAGGGTAAGCGGACCACGGCTGAAGGTCGTCCCCTGCCTTGGCCGCGCCCTGACCCCACCCATCCTCTGTGCTGGAGTTGCTCAGCACGGAGCAGAGCCCAGCCCCACTCGGGCATCAGCGCAGCAAGCCCCACCGGGCCCCCAGCGGGCGAGAGCCACAGGCGCGCAGAGGCTGGGCTGCGCCAGGCGGCATCTCTGAGAGCGAGGAGGTCCGCCAGCCGGGCAGGAAGGACATGGGCGCAGCTCCGGCCACACTCTCCTTCCTCCTGGGACAAACCTATTGCCTGGGCCCCACGTGTTCTCTGTTTAAGAAGCGAAGTCCAGTCTGGCCTGGAACATGCCGGAAGCAGGAGACACTTTGGTGGGTTGCTCTGTGCCTCAGTCTCCTTGTCTGTAAGGGGGGCCCGGTGATCACGGGTGCTCTTTGGCCCCAGCGGGCTGCGACTCCCCACAAAAGGCTGTGAACATGCACCCCTGCCCGCACCCGGGGGCCATGGGGAGGGCAGTGGGGGCGCAGAGGCCCCAGGAAGAAGCTGCGGCAGGACTGGTCCCGAGGGGGAGCGCCAGCGCTCAGCAGGTGGGCACCTCGCAGCGGGGCCCACTTGAGAACCCGCGCAGGCTCCCAGGGCCACACTGAGATTCTACTATTTTTAATACCAACCCCCACACTGTGTTCCAGCCACGGTCAGCTTGGGCGTGCGCAATTTTAGCTCTCAGTCAGCCCACGGCCATGGGCGCTCTGCTACAGAGTTAACCCCAGAGCTGCGTGGCGGGGCCTGGTCGCACAGCTAGGGCGCCTGTGCCTCCACCTGGCCACGTATGTGGGTTTACAGCTCAGCCAGAGGAAGCGGGAAGGCAGGAGCCCTGGGAACCTGCCACGGTGGGAGCGCCGGGCGCAGGGCGCAAAGCGGCTGTGGCCAGCCCAGCATGGTGGAGAGAGGGTGTGGCCCTGAGGACCCTGGGCAGCCCCACCTGGCTTGCCTGTCATGGTGACAGCGACCTGGAGCCAGCGACGGTGAGCCCTCGCCCAGGGCCTGGCCTGCCTTGCAGGGGGCAGGGGCTTCTCCAAGCCGCTCATCGTACAGACGCCCTGCCCGCGGACCCACGCGGTACCTGGCGCCATGGGTGGGCAGACGGGTGGGTGCGCTCCACCTGCTGGCCACAGTTGCCCAGGCCGGCCACCCCAGAAGCCCTAGGACCTGGCATCACTGAGTGTCCGTGGCAAACCCAGCCCGTGTCCCGGGCTCCTGGGGACCTGGCGCCAGCTTTCTGTCCCCCAGCCGCGTCCCATGACCTGTGTACGGGACGTGCTGCATTTCCTCACGCTGCGGGACACCTTCCTTCTGGTACTCTGCTTTCTACATTTTTGGCAGCTTCAGGCCTTCAGAGAACTAGTCCAAGAGGTTTTGCAGTTAAGTTTCCACAGCGGCGCAACAGAAAACAGTCCTTGCTCTCGGCGCAAAGCCAGACAGGCCATTTCCTCCAGAAAGGTCCATCCCGAGCTAGTGGTGGCTCTCGCCCAGCCTGTCCAGTGGCACCATGGACACCCACAGGAGGATGACAGGCTGGACAAGCCCAGGGCCCCTGCTCTGTCCCCAGGGCACACGAGTGGCTGGGGGGCTGAGGACGGTAGGGCCCAGGGCTTGCAGCTGTGAGGACAGTCACAAGCTGTCCATCGGGGGCGGGAGGGCGCTGGCAGGGATGCTGACAGCTCACAGAGCAGAGACCCTCTGCCACGGCCCTAGGGCAGGTGAGCACAGCTCTGAGGACACAGGACCCCATCCCACTGGGGCCCGGGGAGAAGTGCACAGGGCCTCCTGCAGCCCTAGGGGACCCAGCCGTGTGCGGTAGATCCAGACACACCCTGGCGCTGCAGAACCTACGGGTCATGCTGAGGCCGCTCTGGAATGCTTGGGGGAAGGTTCCCCTGCAGCGGGGGCCCCTCCAGCCAGCCACAGCTCTGCTGAGGGACACTCAAGCTCTGGGGGCTGGACCACGTAGGAGCTGGGGAACGTGCAGCGTGGTCAGTCTATGCCACACTCCCTACCCGCCGAGGAGCTTCTTCCCCTGCTCTGGGCGGGCTGACACCTCTGTTTCCTAGAAACATTTCCGCAGACTTCCTGGGCGCCAGATTCATTCTAACCACCGCCCTCCCCAGCCCACAGCTGCTCTCCCACCCGCACCCCAAGGGGGGTGAGAAATGCCTGTCACCTCGGCTACCCTGTCGCAGGAGGCAGGAGGCACGGGGGAGGTGACCACAGCACCCCGATCCCTGACACCAACATCCCCAGCCTGTGGAATGGTGAACGCAGACAGGGCCCCACAGCTGGGACACCCCTCACAAAGCGTGGGCACCCCCAGGCCCCAGCGAGGCCTCGCTAAGCCCAGGCTGTGAGCGAGCGCCCAGTGGGGCCGTTGGAGCTGGGTCCTGGCCAGGCCGTACCAGGCTCTGTCCCCGGGAAGCCTCTGACTTGGTCAGAGACAGGCCACCAAAGAATGTACCCAGCCACACCGCCGCGGGCATGGGCCAGAGCCCTGTGTCTGGTGGGGGCTTCCCCTGGGGCCTGGGGGGCCAGGAGCCACCACCAGGCTAGAGCCGAAGTATTCACATTCTTTGTGGCTAGGGGAGGGAGAAGAACATTTTTGAGAGCACAAACCAAGTTGTTGACCTTGGACTTGAATATTTTTCAACAGCTTTGGCTCTAGGCAAGACGAAAAGACCAAGCCAGGGAAGACAAAGTCAGGCCTGGGGGACGCTAGAGAAAGCAGTGTTGGGGAACACCCCGGGGCCCCTGGCCCACACGTCCCTGACCCAGGGTCCGTGAGAGGGTGGTGACGGTGGCTCTTATGAATTTGGGTACCTGGTTGGCTTCCAGGGGTTTGGTGGCCACAGCTCCATGGGGCAGAGACTCCCTGCCCAGACTGCTCCCGGGGCAGCGAGAGCCAGTCTGGGAGCTCAGATGCCGAGCCCAGAGTGCCCGGCACACGGAGACCCGCCAGGGCCAAGCAGGCAGCGCCATGTGCAGACCCGCCCCAGGCACAAGGGGCTGACGCTCCACCAGGAATCACAGAACCAGCTTTGCTCCTGGAGTTTCCAGGAACCTCTTATTCTTTGCTATTTTCTTCAGTTCGTCATGCAGAACAAGGCGCCCTCGGCCCTGGAGGAGCAGGCCCCATGGCCAATGCTCCTTGACAGGAACACGCTCAGGGCACCTGGCTCACCCACAACTTCCTGGACTTTTACGCCCAGAGGACAAAACCACCCCAGGGTCATCCCTGCGCAGGAGCCGCCTCCTGTCCTGCGGTTTGCAGGCGCGCGCTGTGGACCGTGTCCTCAGCGCATCCCCCACAGGGCTGCTCAGCCCTTGCTCCCAGGTGGACGTGCAGGGCGGAGCACACGGCCTGAGGCCCCCAAGGCCCACAGAGGGCCTGGAACAGCCATCCCCAAGTTAAATGCTGGGAAGACTTACAAATGCCACAAAAGCTGGGGTTAGGCAAGCTCCGGCGTCTCCCAGCAGAGAAAAACTTTCTCTGGCAGAACCTTATTGGAAATAACAATAAGGAACAATTGGAACCTTATTTGGAAACAAAATAAGCAAATTACTGTGATGATTTTGAAGATGTAAGTTTGGGGTCAAGTCACCTACACAGGTAGCAACTGCCTGAAGACATCCGGATGCCCTCACGCAAAGGTCATCTGGAATTCACAGTGCTGGAACACAGGTACCAGGGAGGACGCGGCAGGAACCTAGGGAGCACCCTAGAACCCAGGGAAGCACCCCAGAACCCAGGACAGCACCCCAGAACCCAGTACAGCACCTCAGAACCCAGGGTAGCACCCCAGAACCTAGTATCACAACCCAGAATCCAGGGCAGCACCCTAGAACCCAGGGAAGCACCCCAGAACCCAGGGCAGCACCCCAAGTCTGGTGCAGACAGCAGACACCTTGGTGAGCTGGCTGTGGTCCATGCACAGACATCCTGGCGTAGCTGGGAGCACAGAGGAGAGTATCTGTGGATGCCCGGGCTTGAATCACACTGAAAGCCCCTAGAATAACAAGCCTGGCTTTAGAAGTACGGAGCTTGCTCTCTGCTTTTGCAAGCAGAGCTGACTGTTGGGAGACGCTGGAAGCTCGTCTTCAACACCAGTCCAGCTGCAGCCAGGCTGTGGCCCGCGTGCCCGGCTGGCCTTGCCCCCTCTCGGAGTGTAGGACGTGGGCTCTGCCTTCCTTCCCAAAACTGCCATGGTGCTTGATAGCCCACTAGAAACAAGAATCTCCTCCTATGTTCTGACATGTAATCTAGACAGGGAACACCCATGTTATGGGAACTGGATTCTCTTTTCACACGTTACTGTTCATACAAGGTTCGAATCAGGCTCTGGGCGCAGGCAGGGCCTGCCCAGGCCACACCCCCCGGCTGGCTCTGGCCTGGTCCTCAGGGCGCCCCCAGAAATGACAGCTCCCGGGGCCGAGCAGAGGCCCTGAGTGTCTGGGGGGAGGGCCCTGCGGAGGCTCTGGTCGCTGGGGATGGCCAGCTGTCCGGGTCAAACTGGGAGCCGTGAAGGAGGCGGTGTGGGGGGTTAACGCTTTGTGTGATTTCACCGTAGGTCCACGAGCGCCACTTCAGCCAGGGGAACGGTCTGTGCTGATTTGTGCTGATTTTGCTACTTCTGAAGATGTGCCCACAGCCAATCAAGTAAGCGAGCGAGATCTGAGCTTGTTACCTAACCTCCAAATCGCCAAGTGACAGTGCTATCGACAGCATTCCGACCTCAGCCTCAGAAGAAGCCTCAAGCTCAAGCACGCCAGCCAGGACTGCCTCCTGGCGGGCGGGGGCCACACTCCCCTCGGAGTCCAGTGTTGGTCAGTACCGAGAAGGAGCCCAGGTCACCTCCCTGGAAAACAGGCCCATGGGGCTGATGTGAGGGGTCCACAGACCGGTGGTGGTCCCAGCCCTTTCCCAAAAGACAGGTAACCCTCGAGTTCCTGCTGGAGGAGCTGTCTTTCAGGAGACCGGTCGCGGCTCCCGGGTCCATCCGCCGAGTGTTCTCTGCACTCCAGGCCCATCGCCATCCATGCGTGGCCGCGGGCCTTCCGGGAAGCCGTCTGCGCTAGGGAATGGAGCGTGGGACGGGAATCCTCACAGACCGCATCTCCCGCCAACGTGGGCTTTTCTCCCACAGGCCCCGGACTGGAAGTGGGGAGCCCCCCGTGGACCTCCCCGGCACGGCAGCTGGTCCCGTGAAGCGAACTGGCAACAGGCAGGCCGATGGGAGACAAGGTGCACACGTTTATTCCACACATGAGGGCGTCAGGGGGGAAAGTGGGCACCCCGGGGGGCAGGTCTGGCAGCCTACACACGACATCTCCACGGGGGACAGTCAGCAGCTGTCAGGAAGGAGCGGGCCCTGGACACCCAGATGGGGCCCCCGGGAGCCTGTCTGGGGAAGGCCCGCTCCTCCTGCAGGACAGCCCACATTCCCGCTGGTCACCCTCGAGCTCCTGCCGGAAGACCTGTCTTTCTGGAGTTCAGAGAAAGCCTCTCCCTGTGTTCGCTGTTTTTCAAGCAACTTCAGCTCAAAATCATCAATTTACCAAAGTGGCAGCTGGGGGGCAGCCCGTCCTGACCTCCCGCCTGTGTGGGGGATGCCAGCCTGCCACTCTGTCCAGGGTCTGGCAGCTCCTGGGCGCTTGCCCGTGCCAGGGGGTCTGCCTGGCAGAACAGGGAGGACGGAGGCCCCAGGCTCGAGCTGAGGGGCCTGGAACCACCCTCCTGCCATCCCACTCGGGGCAGAGGTCAAACGCCGTGCCGGCGAGGGGGTCCCCACATGCGGGGGAGCTCAGCTGGGAGCCAAAGCCTGGACACCCCACTTGGGAGACAGCGCGGTGGGAAACCTCCCGGCAGGGGACACGCGGTGTGCGCCCCAGGGCTGGGGAGGCCGCAGCACACACAGGCTGCCGCCCCCACAGGCCTGAAACAGCGTCAGGTGCTGGAGTAAGAGCGTCCTTTCATCCCAGCAAATCTCGGAGCGCAGCACTGAGGGGCCAGCGGGGACCTGGTCTCTGTGGGGACACGAACACTCACGTGTGTGAACACAGCACACTGCCTTAGAAAATAAGCCTCACGCAGGGACACGCGGGGCCTTCCCCTCATGAACGTAACACTTAGGTAGGCGCTGACGTTAGGCAGGGGATGGAGCCGTCCTCGTAAGCGGGGACCAAACACCCGAACAGCAGCGTGCAAACGAGGAGCTTCAGGCAAGAGCTGTCGCCCTACTCGGTGTTAGCACATGTGCTGAGAGAGGCGCGAGCCCTGGTGCCCCCAGACTCGCCACCGGGGCCTGTTCCCCTGCCCGTCCCTGCCTCTCCTCACCATAGAAGAGAGAAGGAAGGTGAAGACTTCCAGAACGTTCTCTTGGATTCTCTAGGAGGTTGGCCATAGATGTAGAATTTCTACAGGCTACCTTTTTAAACAAAAAAAAAAAGCGCCAAAAACTAAAAAGATATTTTCCAATCTACGCCTGTGTCAGGGTGCGTAGGGGGGTGGTTTCTCCCCTGGGGGGAAAGAGGCTGGTGCATAGCGCGGCGGGGCCTGGGGCGGAGGCCCGGAGCTGGAGGCCGGCTGGGTGGGAGGCTGCGTGTCCTCGCACAGGAAGCTGCCACAGGGCTGCAACAAACAGAGAGGGTGCCCGTCAGCAGGTGAGACCTGCCCTACGCCGTCCACGTGGGGGCTCCACCCAGGTCCTGCGGGGCCCAGGGCCCTCCTGGAGAGAACCGCCCGGCCCAGCTGAGGGTGGGAGAGAGGGGCTGCGGCCGGGGCTTTGTTGGCACAAACTCAGCATCAAAGCCACGTGGGGAGACCCCCAGAAGAGTCCACTCTGCACATCCAGGGCTCCGGGACCCCTCAGGCCACCAGCCTTTTGTCTGACTCCAAAACCAACACGGGCAACTGGGAGCTGGGGCCCTGGCTCACCCAACACTTTGTATTTTAGGGAAAAAACCAAAAGCATGGATCTCTGCAGCATGGCGTGATGGTTCACTCTGTCTCCTGGGCCACAGCGCTGACCAGGCACGTGGTCAAATGCCAGTCTGGGTGCTGCTGTGAAGGCATCGTTCCAATGAGACATTTAAATCTGCCGGCTTTGATGGAGCAGCTGACCCTCACTAAAGGGGGCCTCATCGCCCACTGAAGGCCTCAGGAGGAAAAGACCAAGGAGCCCGCGGAGGAGGGACCCAGACTCAGCGTCGGCCCAGCCCTACGGGTTCCAGAACTGCAACCACCTGAGTCGTCCCAAGCCGGCGGCCCCTCTGCTCACACATGCGCACACACCCCCCCGACCGGGTTCTGTCCCCGGAGAACCCCGACTGGCACAGAGACTCGCTCCAGCAGTTCTGAGATGAGAAGCATGCTGGGAAATGGCGCGGTTTTCAAATCAATGAAATTTTCAGTCTTTCTCCATCTGGCAACAAAGCTTTTAGTTTTTTTGCTTTATTCCCCTGAAGTTCTACGGGGTAAAAAACTCCTTCTTAAAATCAGTATTTAAATAAATAAACAGAAAAACTCCTCCTTCCCGTAACTCAGGACAAGTTTCTTAAACTCTGATCTACCAGCTGTGCCGCGGTGCTGAGCGGTCGCCTGCCTGTCCGCGACTATCGCTGGACGCAGCCCCACACGGAAGGCCCAGGAGCCAGCAGGAGGGTCCTCACCACCACCGTGCTCGGCAGGGACTGCGGCCTGGATCTCAGGATCAACGGCTGGGCCCTGGCTAGCCTCCGTCTACTTCTCCCTCAGACATACACGTCCTTCTAGCCCCAGGGCACAAAGGAGCCCTGAAGAACATTCTAGAGAACATTCTCTGTTGGGGGCTCTCGGCTCAACCCCTGCAGTGTCCTGATGTTCCTGTCTACAAGGAGCCAAGCAAACCATGGAGTGAACCCCAGGAACCATGAGTCAACCCCCAGGAACCACGGAGTGAACCCCAGGAACCAGGGAGGGAGGAACAGGAAATTTGTCAGTAAGGGGACAAAAGTCAAACCTCTGCCAGTCCTTGTCCACACGCCCACTGCTGGCCGCCCAGGCTCCCTGCATCTGGCCCCAGGGCGACGGCTCAGTGCAGGGCACACGGACCCGCTGGGCTCTTCCTTCCCACTAACTGCTCACATGGCCCCAGCCCACAGGGTCTGTCACGTGGGAGCATTTTTGCTGCACACGACCCCAACAGAAGCTTCAAGTATTTCCCTGTGGACCAAACAGCGTCTCTCGTGCTCTTCTCCCAGGAAACACGCAGCATCTCAGCCGACTGCCTTCTCCATGGGACTGGTCGCTAACGCACTTGCAGTGACGCGCCCACACGCGCCGGCGTGGAGAGCCAGCCTGGCCCCTGGGGGCCGCCAGGCCTCCAGATTGGAAGAGGGGAGTGTCTGTTCTTCATGAGAAGCCAGAGCCTTCGAGGTGGAAGAGGAGGCCGCAAACGCTCTCAGGACACACGAACCCACCCGCGTCCCACAGTCAGGGTGTCATGGGGGCAGTGGGTCCCCCACCTGCCCACGACGGGGCTCTGCTTCCCATCGCCGCAGCACCGCAGGGAAGGACGCACACTCCTGCCGGCCAGCCCGCGGCACCGGCGCAGCTCAGGCAGCCCGAGGTCCCGGCACCCGACGGGAGGGACGGGCTGACGCGGTCCCTTTCTCCCCCTCCCGTTCCCCACGGACACGTGGTGCTGAGGATGGAAGACGCCGTGCAGGCTGCACTCCTGGCCGCAAGTTCCTGGCGTCCACACGATCCCAAGTTGGTGTCTGTCAGATGGCGGCCAGACCCCCGTGGGAGCGCCCACCCGGCCCCGCATCCCCGCAGACAGTCCTGCCAGGCGAGTCTTGAGTTCTGGGCTTCGCAAACTTCCCGCAGAAGATGCGGAGAGTGGGGCAGAGGTCCCGGGCAAGGCGGCTGCTCCAACAGTGCCCTCCATGCTGCCGTCCCCGGGGTGGGGCCGGGAGAGGGAGGCCATGGGGCTCAGTGGCCTCTGCCATGCCACCCGGATGCGCCTGTCCTTGGAGTGGCCACCACATGGTCATTTAGGAACAGCCCCTTCCCAAGCCACGGCAGCAGAAACGGCCACAGCACCCACGACGAGGGGCCTCATCTTCCGGAGTCGGGAACTCCCCCGCCCGGGGACCGGGCCACCACCTGTGAGCCACTCCACCAGACCAGACGGCCCCCACCTCACATGGGGCCTCTCTGACAGGAGCACAGGGCCCCCACACGGCCCGGGGAGCATGACCCCCACTTTATTGTAAGGTGCGAGGAGGACACTGGGGCACAGAGAAAGGCTGTCCTCCACAGGGCCGATCCGGACCACGGCCTCTGGCCACCCCCACCCCACAGGTCCCGGGGGCTGGGCCCCCACCTGGAGCTGCCGGTCCCTGCTCCCTCCAGGACGTCCCTGGCACAGGCCCCCACTCCGGCGGCGAGCTGAGACCCTGCCCAAGCCTGGCCACTCAGGGTCGGGGACCTGACACTCAGGCGGGGGTGTAAACCTGCCCCAGGCAGCCACCGTTTCCAGGCAAGACTGCGCTTCCCGCCGGCTCCACCCACCAGGAGTGGGTCCCCCGCGGACACCTGCAGACGTGTGGCTTCTAGACCAATGACCCCCGCCTTCGTCCTGCCTGCCCCCCCCCCCCGGCGCAGAAGTGTGTCACGCACACGTGATAGGGTCATGAACCGTCACAGCCAGCCGACACGGACCACTCAGGGGACGCTGCTGCTGTCACTGCAGAATCCGCCAGTCAGCCCGGCCCTATGGGTAAGCACCCCACCCGGAAGGGAAGCCGGACCTGCATGGACCAGGGGCTCCCGGCTCTGCCCCGGGGTGCTGGGTGCGTCTAGAACGGTCCTGGCACACAGCTGGCAGTGCCCCTGCCTGCAGTGGGCAGAGACTGTGCAGCACCCACCCTGCCCGGCACCCACGGGGGGTGGCCACACAGGGCCAAGGCGGGCAGCACCGACAGGGGCCCAGAGCGACCCAGGACAGTCAGGGTCTGTCCCCCGCACCATGCCCGGCACCTTCCTGCTACACAAAGCAGCAGCTGAGACCAGGCGTGGAACCGGGCTGAGCCAAGGCTCCCACAGAAACGGGGGCCCCTTCCCTGAATGGTCTCCAAGGTCCACAGCATTACACAGGGGAACCCTGAAAAAACCACCATTTTGTCAATGAAGTTTGGCTGGATCCTGGCAAATCCACCTAAGTAACCGCTGTGCTCATGGACACATGGCCACCTGGCAGCCGGGGCCCCGCTCACACTCACAGGAAGCTGCCCTGACCTGAGAGCACCATGCGACTCCCAGCCCACGAAGAGTGAAGACCCCCAGGTGCCAGCTGTCCCTGTGAGGAGGCCACACCCTGTTGTCACCCCCAACGGCCCGCCAGGCTGGCTCCACATCCACACTCCCTAAACCAGGGGACCGGCCCCGTCCCGTGCGACCCCACTAGGGGACGCTGGCCCTACCTGCAGGGGCAGAGGGTAGGAGGAGCAGGTCGGGATGGTGGTGGGCGGCTGGCAGAATCCCGCGTAGGCCAGGACCTGCTGGGCAGGGCTGTACAGGATCTGAGGCGGGGCGGACGGGCCGAGAGCCAGCTGGGACAGAGGCACCTGTCGCAGGACAGAAGACAGGCAGGTGGTCGGCACAGCAGTCCTCACGCCCGCCCAGGCCGCACCCCTTGGCCACGAACTCCGCCCTGCTCTGGGGAGCCCCATCCTCAAGCTGGGGAAGGGGAGTTGGCCCCTCCTGTGTGGGTCCAGAAGGAGGGTCCCCGTGTCCTGGACACTGTTGTCACCTAGACCGGCTGTGCTGCCATCTGTCCCTGGGACTCACAGGCAGCCAGTCACACCAAGGGACACTGGCTGAGGCTCTTTGGTGTGTTTTTGGGACAAGCAAGAAAACCACTCTCAGAGCTGGTCGGGAGCACGGCTCGGGGCGGTCCTCCCAAATCCACTGAGCCGGTGGGCACACCCTTGGGGGCACAGGGACCCCTCAAGGAACCAGGGGAGACCAAGGGCTGCCAAAGGCCTCAGGGGTCCCGCTCGGGCGGTTATAGCTCTCAGGAAACGGAGGGAGGCTCTGGCTCACGCCACCACTGCCCCCACTCGGAGGGGCCCGGGGCTTCCAGGCACCGGCAGCCTCCGAGACCAAAGGTGAGGGGGACTGCGCAGCGGGGTGTGGGACGCAGAGCCTGCGCCGGGGAGGGCGAAGGGGGCTGAGCTGGAGTGGCCCTGAGGATGGGGCCCAGGCACACAGAGACCAAAGCGCCCCCCAGGACGCTGAGTCGGCCCCGGGGGATCCTTCTGGAGACCTGGGACCCGAGGGCTAGAGCTGGGGTGCCAGCTTGTTTGGGAGCGCGAAATGCCCTGACAGACTGAGAGGCTACATAGCGCATCTTGGGAGACGTCCACACTGAGTCACTAAAAACGCCAGCGACCAGTCGCTGCAAGAAATCACCCAGGGAGGGTTTCAGCTGCCACGTCCATTTGCTGTGGCCCTGAGCTGACACTGGGCCCTCAGGAAGGGGTCCCAGCTGGGGGCCATGACTCACACTCCTGGGGGCTGCCCCCGCGCTGCCATCCCCTCTCCGGGGCAGGTGGCAGGTCTGCCAGAGGGGACAACCATGAGAATATCTGGTTTGGAACAAACAGATGCCCCAAGAGGACGGGAGAGCCACCCTAACACCCTGCAGACCTGACGGCCCACCCCAGGGGACACGGACCTGGGGTGCTGGCCCATGTCGAGGATGCCACTTACCATGTCCTTGAAGGCCCCCAGGACCGCGGCTGTGACGATGCCCAGGAACAGCCCCAGCACGTTCAGAACCGCCGAGGCCCAGAGCAAGCGGTAGAGGTGGACCACGTCCTGACAGCTGCGCACGCCGACAAACTCGTAGTAGGTGGGCGAGGGCTCTGCGCTGCACAGCGAGGGGACAGCGGTGTCACCAGCCCCGACCATTGGAGCTGTAGTCCGCAGACCTCACCTCGCTTGTTAAGCCAAGGCCAGCCACCCTCACAACCTGCGCCATGCAGGGCAGGGGAGGGAGTTAGCGCTGGGCCCAGTAAGCCCCGCACCTGGGGCGGCCAGCGAACCAGAGCAGCTTTGGGCCTCAGTCCAGAGAGGCCCTGAAGGGCCGAAGGTCTGGGACAGGCCCCATGAGTGGGCTCGGACACAGGCCTGCGGCCATAGCACAAAACTCCCCTGGGGAGTCTGGGTGCCCATGTCCCTGGGCAGGGTGGGGGAGGGTCGGACCACGAGGTCCCCAAGAAGTGACGCCAGCTGAGTCCTCAGGGCAGGCAGGACATAGAAGCTGGCCCCACCCGGACCTGAGCCTCAGGGCCCAGCTGCCCCAGCAGGGATGCTTGAGGGCTCAGCTCCACCCTCCATGAGGACCAAGGACATCCTCATGTCTGCAGCCTGTCCCGAGAGGACCCACTGTGCACGCTGCCTCCCCACTGGCTGGGAGACAAGAGAAGCCTCTTCCTGGGGAAGGAGGCGAGTGTAGCTCAAACCCCGGGAGGGTCCCAAGGAGCCCATGTTAAATTTCCTGCTGGTCGTGCATGGTGCTCAAGCTGTGAATGCAACTTTAAAAGAGAATAGGCCCCATTTCATCCTGCACATGTAGAACCAGTCGTCCCAGCTATTCAGTCAACAAGAAGAGTGTGACCACTGCCCGCTGGTCCGACGCTGCATGTGGGCAGAGCCAGGCACCAGGCACAGAGGGTCAGAGGTCCCCAGCCCCTGCCTGCCGGTCGGGCTGGGCTCAAGGAGGCTGCTTCAGGGGGGCTGCCCCTGGCCGAAGCCCACCACCCCTGGGGGGGCTGCCGTGGAGATTTGCAAAGCGTTTTCAGCAGCCCCGTGAATGCCACCGGCCCTTCCTCAGCATAGGTGAGGGGAATGCGGAAGATGGAGGGACGGGGCCACACAAGCAGGCTGGCCAAGGTGCTGGGCTGGCAAACAGCACAACGTCAGGGAAGGAGGAGGCCCTGCATGTGCCCCTCCCTGCAGACCCCTCACCTCTCGCAGGTATAAAGGTCGCAGCAGTAGCAGGTGTTGCTTCTCACCTTCAGCTGGCACTTACTGTTCCAGGAGTGGCAGGTGACCTGGGAGCAGAGAGACCCGGTCAGGTGGCCCCGAGGCCCCGAGTGCTCATTCGAGTAGGCAGGGCTGCCTGGTTCCCAGCAGAACAGGGAGGCGCGGGACTCTTCGCTGCAGGGGCCAGCTCGGCCACACGGGCCTCTGGGGCACGCAGGAGACAGAGCGGACCCCATCTCTCTCTGATCCCAGGAGTGGAGGGGAACCAGCCTCCACCAGGACAGGACACCAGGGTGCGTGGCAGGAAGGGCCCACGGGTGGGGACTGCACAGGGGCCTGGGGAGCTGGGGCACATCGGAACAGAGCGTGCCCAAGGGCTCCCTCCAGCAGGGCAGCCTTGGAGGAGACGCCTGCCACCGCCCGGAGACAGGCCGCACGAAGGCCCGAGGCACACGGAATGCCACCTTGCCCAGCACTCGACAACCTCCCGGCTGTTTGTGCAGAATCCCAGAACAGCTGGGCGTTGAGCCAGTGGGGGCGTCAGCCACGGAGTTTTCGTCTCCGTTTCCGCCTCCTCTGACTTTTGTGCTCAGTTTGAGAGGCCAAGTCTGGTTAAACTGACAAGTCTACACAGCGCTGGCGTGAGACACGAGAGCCCGTGTGGAGCCAGTGCTCCCGGCATGGTCCCAGAGAGGGTGGCGTGCCATCGCGCACCGTCGTGTTCCTGGCCTCTCACTCACTTGGAGGGAGAATGAAGTCAGGCTGCACCTGTCCTTGGCCCACAGTGTGAAAGTATTATCTTAGCTTTTTATTGCAATAATTAAGTCAGTAGAAAGTGCTAACTGGAAACGCCACATAGAATTGGACAAATAAATTCCAAGACTATTCCGTGTCAAAGAAGCCAGCCTGCAGCTGTGACTCCAAAGTAAACACGGTACGTTAAAATGGCAAGGCCAGCGCAAAAACAAACCGAGCTGTAAGTGTCACCACCCCCAGCTGTAAGCATCACCACCCTCTAACATGAGGAACCGTTAGAATCAAAACATCCAGATGTCGACCAGGGACACAGAAAACCTCACGGGGTCGGTGTAAACACCAAATGGCCTCACTCACCTCTGTCTGGTAGACGTCATATAAGTATCCTACCCCACTGGAGTAAAACTGGCATCTTCCTGTGGTGAGAGGCCTCGGCTCCTAGAGAAATGGACACACACAGATGGAATGGGAGGGTCGGCTCCAGTCAGGAGGGGTCAGGGGTGACTGCGGGCCTGTCTGCCCCAGGCTCAAGCCTCCCCGCCAGAGAACGCAAGCATGAGATTGCACGGCTCCTCCAAGGGCACTGGGCTCCTGCGTCCGGGTCGCGGCTGGTGGAAAGCTCAAGGGAGGGCACCCTCAGTCCCCACAGGCTGGGCTGACACGTCTTCTCCATCCGTCACCACAAGAGAGCAAAAGGGAGGTGCCTGTGGACCTTCTGAGGGGCACCCCTACAAGTCTACAGCACAGCCACCTGGACTCCTCTCTCTTTTCTTAAAAGAAAACATTTTTTCCCTACTAAGAAGACAGTAAAAAGGATTTCAAACTATTTGATGCATCCAACCAACCAGCCAATCATCCATCCACCTACCCATCCATCTAATCGTTCAATCATCTATGCATCCATCCACCCTTCCTTCCATTCATCCCCATCAACCCAACCGTCATCCATCCACCCATTCATTAATCCACCAACCCATCATCCATCATGATCCTTCCATCCATCCATCCATCCACCAACATCCATTGCATCCATCATCCACCCATCATCCATCCATCATCATCCTTCTATCCACCATCCATCCATCCGTCCTTCCTTCCATTCATCCCCATCAACCCATCCATCATCCACCCACCCACCCAATCGTTCAGTCATCTACGCATCCATCCATCGACCATCCATCATTAATTAATCCACCAACCCATCATCCTTCCATCCACCATCCATCCATCCATCCATCCATCCAACATCCAATGCATCCATCATCTACCCATCTATCCACCAACCCATCATCCATCCATCCTTCCTTCCATTCATCCCTATCAACCCATCCATCATCCATCGTTCCATCCACCCATCAACCTATCATCCATCTTTCCTCCACCCAGGGACACCATCCATCCATTAAGCCACCATCAATCCATCCATTTCCTCCACCCACCCATCCCACTCGAGCAAGGGCTGGTGTGTGGAGGTGCCCGGAGCCTCCACGCTGCGCTCGCGCCCTAGGAGGGCGGCCCCGGCCAGGACCACACAAGACGGGGGGCACAGGTGCCTGTCTCTGCCCATCTCTGGCCAGCAGACACGCAGCCAGTGGGTTCTCCAGCCGCGTCCTGCAGCCCTGGTGCCTCTCACAGGCGCTGCCTCAGCAGACCTTTTGAGCTCCCGACTCTGCCCCACGTCTACTTCTTAGGGTACCCTGGCGGGTCCTCTGCAGGCAGGGCACCAAGGCTGGGCACAGGGAGCCACAGGGAGGCACCAGGCCCCAGAGGGTGGGAGCAGCAGTGACAGTAACAACCACGGAGGCTGGGGAGGCGCTGGGCCGGCCCGCAGAGCCCTGGAAGCAGCCAGCAGAGCAGTGGCCAGTGAGGCCCCGCTGCACACAAGCAATCAGAGGACAGGGGCAGGTCGCCCCAGAACAAAGTCACAATCCTGCCCTGTTTCTGGACCTGAGTCCCCCGGAACCCACTGGCAACAGCGGCCAGGTCCCCAAGGGGATAGCCTATGACCCCAGCAAGGTGTGCTGTGGTGGATCCTCACTCCCCCCACCTTGCACGCTGCCCAGAAGGGCGTCCAGACAGCCCGAGGCTGCAGGACAGGAAGCATCGTGTGCTCTGTGATGGTGGCCTGTGGCAGGATCAAGGCCTCGCAACTTGTGTGGTCAGAGCCCAGCATGTCGACAAGGATGAGCAGGAACCTCTGCACTGCGCTGCCCAGTCGCACGTCATCAGAAACAGCACCGAACCTGGGCCAGGCCGTGGGCTGGGGAGGACGGCTGCACCTTTATAGCCCTGAGGTTCCACCCCAGGCCCCGTGGCTGGTGTGAGGGGCGGTAGCTGTGGTGGACTCCAGATGCCGCCTCAAATGTCTTCCCCAAGCAGCACTAAGCAGGAGAGGCTGGACCCCCGAGATCCAACTGTGACCTCACGTGGAAAAGGTAGCCACCTTCCTGAGAGGGCATGACCAGGGCGCACTGCAGGTGGAGACGCCCCTCTCTCTGCCACCTTCTGTCCCAGGGCAGGAATGCTTGGGGCCAGACCACCGCTCACGAGGTGACCCTCCACACACACGCTCACCCCCTGTGGGGCCACGGTAGGCTATGAGACGCCAGCAGTCCAGGCCCCCAAGGTGACCGGCTGGGACAGAGGGTCATAGCCACTGAGACCCTTGGCCAGGCACCGTATCAGCCCCCGATTCTACTCCTCCCTTCCCTCTCGGGGCTCTGTTCCCAGCAAGGCCTGCACATCAGCAACCGTCGAGCGTCTGCTTCCCGGACAATTCAGCCAGCGACTGGGTGTCAGTTCCATGTGGGTGACAAACTCAGGTGACAAACTCTCTGCCCTGTGAGCAGCTGCTGTTCTTCATGTGCACAATCACGCCTTGTGACGTGAAAACACTCTTTTCAGACGATAACTGAGGCCCTGCCAAAAAGGTCCAAATTCGTGGGTCGCCTGGAAGCCACCCTCACGTCTCCCAGCCCAAGAGCTGCCTCACCCACTGGCTCCGGGGCCCAGCCAGCTCCTGCGGGAGCCACACTTCCTGTCCCTGATGCAGCAGCACCATGGGTTTGGTTTCACTGTCCAATCTTGACATTTCAATCAAGATGAAATAACTCTCATTAGCTTGAATGAAACACAACTGTAACCTACCTCAGTCCACGCTCAATCTTTAACACAAGCTTAGTTTTTGAATTTACTAGGAAGCCAGAAACTGTGCTTCTCTGGGGATCCCTCAACCTCCTCTGGGACTGGCAAGGGAAGGAGCCGATGCCACTTGGCTAAGAAAGGGATTTTGCTTTGCTAAGCGGGTGCTCAGGAAGAACATTTCACGTGGTTTTTATTTCTTAATGGTCCACGTAAACTACCAGTAACAAGGTCGCCACATTCATCATGAGGCTGAAAACCAGGTAAAACCCAGCTAAACCCGGTCTGTCTTGGGAAGGCTGCAGATCACGCCCGCTGCCGGCTCCTGTGCATGGTTTCCCAGCATGTGCCGTGGCTGCTCTCTCGCTACAACGGCAGAGCTGAGTGGCTGCGACAGTGCTGCCCACAGGCCTAACATGGCTACACTCTGGCCCCTGGTCAGTTCACCCTACGGGCACCTGCCGCACGCAGGACTTGAGCGAGTGGTTGTGGCATGGGGGATGGACAGGGAATGGCCAGGAGGCAAGGGCACGCCCTCTGACACCACACGCCACTGAAGCTGCCCCCAAATCAGCCACTAAATTAAAACCTGGGCACTTCTCCGGCAGAGGGCATCCGCTGTGAGCTGGAACTGAAGCCTCAACTAACTGACCTGCAGCCGCACTGGGTCCTGTTTCTCCGAAAAACAGAAACAGTGACTCTCGCAGACGCCCAGGAGCACACATTGCCGTGGTCGGATGGGGGTCCCGTCCAAGCACACACTGCTCTGGGTGGGGCCCATGCATTGAGTCCTGCTCAGCCGCCTCCTGTCTCTTTGAGGAGTGGCCTGGGCGTCCCCGGGCCAGAGGTGGAGCCACGTCTTGGAGACAGACAACCAGAGGGCAGCCAGGTCTCCCCTCCAAATCCGGGGTTCCCAGAATGGCCTGCAGACCCATCTCCACTCCATCTCAGCCTTCGGAGACACAAGAGCAGGTCAGTTACAGCCAGGAAGCAGTGGCAGGTGACAGGTGAGCGTCCAGATAAGGCTCAGCCTGGTAGGGGCTGAAGCAGGAAGGAGTCTGCAGTCCTCTGGGCTTGGCCCATGTCTTCCCCAATCACGAGCATCTGGTGGGCCCTGAGTGTGGGGCTGCGGTGGGTATCAGGACACGGAAGTGAGGACCACACCCTCTCCGTCGGCCAGTGGGCCCAGGGCTGGCCTGGGCTGGCCGCAAGAGGGACGTGGAGACGGCCGTCTGTCGGCAGGAGCACCTGCCCACACCCCCTCCCGGAACCACGATTCACACTGGTTCTCTCCCCAGCAGTACACGCAGGGGCAGCCGTGTTTCCGCCAGCGGCGTCTTAGGTCCAAGGAGGCACTTCTGGACAACCACCCCACGGGCACGCCGGGGGCCCTTCCCGGGTGTGAGGGCTGCTCCATCACCCACCAAGGTGCCAACCCTGTCCTGACCCTTCACCACGCAGCCCTGCAGGGGAAACACGACTTAGAGAGACAGGCTGAGGCCCAGAGCCTGGAGACACCTGTGACACAACCACCAGGCAGCGTGCGTGACAAACTCTAACATCTGGTGTGTGGGTGCATGTGTGTGGTACGTGTGTGTGTGCATGTGTGGTGTGGGGGGGGCAGCGTGGGGGTATGTGCGGTGTGTGTTGTGTGATGTATCACATGTGGTGTCTGTGGTGTGTGGGGAGGTGTTACATGTGCATAAAAGTATGTGGTGTGAGATGCAAGGTGTGTGGTGTGTTTATGGTGTACGTGTGGCATGTGTGGTGCACGTGCATGGGGTGTGGGTGGCGTGTGATCAGTGGTACGTGAGGTGTGTGGAGTGGGGTGTGTGTGTGGTGTGTTATGTGGGGTGTGCGCGGGGCGTGGGTTGCGTGCGGTCGGCGATGTGTGTGGTGTGTTACGTGTGGTTAGCATGACGTGTGGGTTGTGGGTCGTGAGCAGGGATGTCCCCTCTGCAGGAGGTGCCAGGAGAGACAGCAGCACCCGTGGTGGGGACGGCAGTTTGACGTCTGGGCTGAGCTCCGCAAGACGGAACTCTTGTTTCTTCAGGGAAGCTTTTTGGCCCCAGCAGGCGAGCATGAACACAGACAAGTACTCACGATGTGCCGTGCCGCAAACACGCCGTCGACAATGGCACAGCAGAATGCCGCCACCACGCCAAAGCTGATGAACACCACTGCCGCCACCAGCTGCAACAAAGGAGAGGAACAGGTTCCCGGCTGTGACAAACACGTGTGTTTGGGCAGGGAGGAGGGCCCCGGTCTCAGAGGAACAAGGGCTGGGCCACACCGAAGAGGCCCCGTGGCTGGGACGTGTTTTGTCCTCTGCGGACATCGCAGAGGCACGCAGAGCTTCGAGGAAGAGGAGACCACGGCCCAGGTGTGCCGGCCCCACGAGCGCGGCCCGTTCCTGACACTCTGCCTGCTCCTCCCAGCCGGTAAAGCGGGGGCTTCCAGGCCCTCCGCCCTCCAGGACACCAATCTCCAGGGGGGCCTGTCCAGGCGAGGGCCATCAGCCCCAAGGTGACAGCTGTGGACTTGGCAGGTACCTTGCTGACGGCCTTCAGGGCCTCCCGTGGCCGAGCGCAGCCCACGGGTCCTGGGGCCCGTCAGCCCCACTCAAGGCCTCTGACCTCCAAGAGAAGCCAAGGGCCGCACTCCCCCAAGAAGGCTGACAAAGTCCCCGCGATGGCAGACCCTGCATGGCAGCTGAGCAGGGAGACAGGAAAAAAGCCCCACCCCCAGACCTCAGAGGAATGGAAAAAACTGTCAGGCCAATTCCTGATCTGCCTCCTCCGTGGGAAACGTGCACTGATCTGTACATGACTTCTCATGGTCCTATGAGTTCCTCCAGGTCAGTGGATTTTTAACTGTGCTCCAGGAGGATGCCAGTGTGCGTGCACGTGTGACCTGTGCACGCATCTGTGTACGTCTGTGTACGTGTGTGTGCACGTGCATGTGTCTCTGTGTGCATG